AAAATCTTTACACTAGACGACGCCAATTGGTCTACTTCGCCAAGTTAACAGATAATTATCCCGGTAAATTGGCACTATCTTACTCTACCATCTATCTTATACATTTATTACCTTTAGACATTAATCCGTGACTATTAACTTTTATTCGTTGATAAAAGATATTTTACTTTACCTTGCCAAGACCTAAGCAAGAAAATGAAATATGATTTCCGCACGAAGACACTTCTAGAAATGGCTGAGAAAAGAATACACCTAGTGTGTTTGTTAGTCTTGTTCTCCCTCTGGTCCAAGGCTACACACCTCTTTTCATAAAGCCTTCCAATCTAAAATCCCAAAGAGTGCTAATGAAACTACTACTGAGATTCATGATTGTGTAATTTTTATAAAACTTATCAGTTAATATTAATTTTTAGGCTTTTAAAATATCATCATTCGATCATTGTTGAGGTAAACTACTGTTAAACCTCGGTGCTAGCTAAATTTAGCTAGGAAGGGATACTTAACCCGAGAGACTTCTGACTATACGAGAGTTTTTACAATTTGCAATATACTCTTTCAGGTTTACCTCTCCTGGATATAGCCCTACACCTGTGTGAACCACATTAAATTTATGTGTTTTGTCATGTTTACCATCTGGTTTACTGTCACTTGCTATTGCTAATTTACTGTCTTGTGCTAACAATCATCATGTTATTTTGCATCCTCTTACACATACTATCAAAACTTCAAAATTTATTCATATTCATCTTCTTTTACAAAATATCCAAAATTACGCTTTAGATTATTAAAGATATTATTAAAACTAAATATTGAGTTCATATATTTTAGATAAATGATCTCCTTGGCCATTTTTATTGCTGAATTAATTTTTCAATTTATTTCTGACAGTGTTTCTTCATTTTCTTGAAGTGGTTCAAGTAACAAAATTTAATATTCTAAACTTATACCAAATAAAGAAAATCATTGAAGCTTTCTACGTGTACTGCTCATTAAGAACCGTAACAAAATAAATTAGGCTATACGTTTGGTCGCAGCGGCTATTTTTAAGAGCGTTTTAAAGAAACTTAGACCAATATACGGTAGATGTATTAAGATAGTGTCACTTTTAAGGCGGTCAGCAGTAGGAACCTTTGATGCTACGAATTGAATGACACTGATCAATGCAATTGTAAAAATGAAGAGAAGTGGCACAAATATAATATATTGAAACAAGAAAAAGGTGAAAGATAAGAAAGTAAACCTAGAGATGCTTCAACCCCAAAGAGAAATAAAATTGCGAAAGGTTTAAATAATTGGCCATAGATACTAAATATGTAGATGGAGGCAGGTGTAGTCAACATCGAGATCAAAGACAAGATACCCAAAAGCGATCAAGAATAAAGAATGTCGAAAGTGTACACAATAAACATCAAAAATTATAAACAAAACAAGAATGATAATTACAACATCAACCATGATCAGAGAACACAAAGATTTACTACAAGGGACTTTGTTTGAATATCTCTTGTAGTAAATCATCAAACAATATATCAACTACAAGAGAAGAGTAAGAATATCAGCTATATTATTCAGCCATGAAGTATCTGATTCACTCGAGTATTTGACTCCCTTTACTGAGTGACTCAAGTGAGATCAGGTCATGGCCTGATCTGACTTGAGTAAACGGGAATGACTGACCATGGTATCACTCAGCCATAACGGTCTTGTGGCTGGGCTCAACCCAAATCTATGGCCGGTAAGTTGTATACAGAACCACAGAAGGGTGACTTGCGAACGTTGAAATTATAAATAATGGTCCTCTAGCTATGTGATTTGTGCGTGATTGTGTTGAAAGAGAGTAAAGGCGAGGACAGTCTATCATTAAAAAACATAATTTTGGGATTTGAGTCAGAGTCCCCTGAATTAATACTGATCTAAGCTGTGCACTCTGAGACTAACTCCGTCATTGCTTCTTCCTTTCAAGAGAAAAGTTTAGTGCTGTCACAATTTCATTGGAAACCAGATATTATGCACAATCTCAACATGCTTCGTCACGGCACTTTCTTCTGCTTCTGAAAAACTTCGTCACCATCGGGTCCAGCAGGTGAAGTATATCTCAATTCAAGTTGCCGCATAAGAATACACCTCTTTAAATCATTTGACCTTCAACCGTGCTGCATCTTTGGTCTTAATACGACCCGATGTAGTATTGCTGATATACCATTCTGGTACTTAGACAAAATAGACATTCAGATGCCAATGTCTCACACTCAGTATTTCAATTACGTTGATCTGAAGCTGAACGTAGAGTTGACAAGGTACTGACAATGGGAGACGATCAATGGAGGAGACCCATGCAAGGAATATTACCAATATTTTATCTAAGGATTCACTTGGCAATCGAGCATGAGCATTCAGACGGGCCTGGACCATTTAATCATGAGTTTCTTGCGAAGCACAACTCAATCACGAAGGGCACAAAGGTCACTGGGAAAAAACGAACTTTGTTTCGTAGTGAATATCTAAGGATCACTTGCACAGATCCTGGCGCCTTCTTCATTGTTCCTGAACGTAGTCTGTCTGCTCGGTGAAAATTGGTCTATAAGAACCCAAATTGAAGTCGCCAGTTCTTCTTTTCCACTTCTACAGTATATCTGACTGTGCTTTGATTCTGACGAGGAAATAATTTCAGAATCTAACCAGAAATCAAACTAGAAATCGGATACCAGAGCCCGTAGACAATGACATTATGCTCGCGGAGTTGAGGTTGGCAGTCAAAAGACATCAGTTATTATAAATTATAAGCTCTTTGTTTCTCCTGTAAGTGTGCACGGTGATAAACCCGCTGTTATTTGGACGCCAGTACTGCTGAGATATTTTGAAATTGGTGGTCCTCTCTCAACACGGGGATGAAGTGTGATGAGGAGAGGCCGATTGCACCGGCCTGTTTTGACAAAATCTGATAATTAGACTCTGCAGATGACCAAATCCTTCCGCACTCATCAGAAACCACTAGAAATTGAACCTCACTATCGAAGCCAGGAAGAGGCTATCAGCTCTTCGCACCCACAATTTTCGTGTCGAGGTATAAATTGATCAGGATGGGAGAATTTAGGCGAGATTAACATTGTACTGCTCTATTGGTACCTGACAGTGCTCTACCTGAGTGCGCCTTGGAACCTTTGGTCGGAGACCATCATTTCCTGGAACAAATGAAAATACTTTCCACGGCTAGAGCAGACTCAACTGAACATCTTTAGGAGGCTGTGAACTTTCCGAGTAGTTCGTTTTATGTAGACCCTCGTGGAAAATAAAAGGCGGCGGTATCTGGGATGCTCACAATAGTCGGAGCCGGTCTGTCATGTTCGATATATTTCTCTGTCCGAAGGTTAGTTTCGGCCATGAGTCCGAGCATGACATGACATACTCGGCAGGCGTCATGCGGTCGCCAACATCTCGCCCAATGACATTGGTGGACCGCACGAGGTCAGAGTATGATTAGCCCACGTGAATAGAGAAAGAAGAAACGAAATGATGGTCGTGATCATCCTTTCCGTAGGATTTTCCGAATCGTGAGATCGGCGTATGTGATGGACGTTACACGGGCATCAAGTCGAGCGCTTACTTTTCACAATTCTGCTTCTCTCTCGATCGTTTTCAACCGTAACGGCATCATGACGAGCTATCTTGACCTTTAGTTGGACTTCTGTCATCCGGCTTCAGAATTTTGCCCCACAATTGCAGTAAAAACTCTGTATAGATTTCTGGTATATCTGTGCAGGATCTGTCTTGCTTCGGGTTCATATATTATCAGTTTACTCGCAATGGATACACAAGAAAGTACCTACAAACGACGCGCTAGTACGAAGAGTCTGACGGTTCATCTACTCGTTATAAATTCATACACTCGAACCATGCACTTCCTTGTAATTCAAGTCACTCAAGATTTTATTCATGCTATGAGAGCGTACACTTCGTTTGAATTTGTGCTAGTTCAACTGAGTGATCGAGAGAGATCTGGTGCTGGGAAAGGACGTACGCACTGATTCGAGATCTGACTGGGAGAATTACACGTTACGTGCGCTCTGCACATCGTGGTACCAGCGGACTCATGAGAATTTCGAATGTCCGTGGCAAAATCACATCAGCGCACTGTGCACAATGATTGGCGATGGATCCGAGATACAGTAGCAGAAGATTGTTCTGCAATCTCACGTGTGCTGGATTTACTGTTTTCGTAATGGAGGAATTCAATTTACCAATTTACTGAGACTTTTGCCCGGAAAAGTGTTAGACTTGCTTGTTCCACGAGGAGTGGAAGTCCAGAAACACGATTGAAAAGAGAGAGTTTTTCAATGAGGCCAAAAAATTTACTCTTATTTGGAATAAAGGTATAAAAAACTTGACGTTGTTTGTATAATGGATTCTACAACAATATAATGTTCTGTGTACTCCAAAACTTACTGGCAACATTTTTTTAAACACGTGTCTTTTTGTATGTGTGCCCTGAATATGATCGCTCATGGTAAAAAATCTCACATTCTTGGATTAAGTATGTTGCTATAACTACGTATGTCTTGACATAATTATTAAAAGCTTTGATTTGAAATCTGGAAAGAAAAAAAAATCTGTTCTGGGAAGTAAATTAAGTGTTAATCATCGGTATTCGAAAATGTTTTTTCAAGTTTTGACTCTAGGTTCTGTAGTTGAATAATACTTTGCATATTCTCGAAAGAGAAAGTTTGAAAATACATGATCCAATTGGTGAACGTAGTTTTTAAAAAGTGAAAAATAATAATACGTAGGGCCATGTCAATAAGATAAAAAATCAATGAGTTGGTGTCATGCATGAAATCTGATATTCTATTTCTCATATTCTTTGTTCTCGAAATTCACAGGTATACTTTTTAAAGAAGGGAGAGTCAACGTTGGATGCAACGTACTCGCGTGGAATTGACATCAAATTATCAAAGTATCAAAATGTTCAGACAGTTCAAAAATATAAAATGAAATTCGTCAATGCTCACCACTCAACTAGCATAAACTGGTCATAAAGTATAAGTTTACGTTGAATCAAATTTCTTGGGGTACTCTGAGCTACGCATTACAAAAGGAATTGATGTCAGTCGAGAACTCATCCGCTGTTAACGTAAGGCAGGTGTTTTCCGTGGCTCCTTTCGTTCTGCGATTATACTTCCCCTGAATCGTCCATTGCGAGGATTGTGAATTTCTCACTGTACTTCAAGCTCGATATAGAATCCGATCGTGGCACTCGCCGATACAAGAGCACCCAGAAAAACTGAGATCTGCGACACAAATGCAACCGAGAAAAAAAGGCTGCAAGGAGCCTCGAGAAACAACAGAGGCGGGCCCCTTGCACCACCAGCTAGAGGTCCAGAGTACCCTCCGCGCAGCTCAATTCAAGGCAAGGCAATTACGGCCTCGGCACAAGCTGCTGGAATAGTCAAACTTAAGCACGCCAGAGAGGAGGGAGCTCAGAGAGCTTGAGATGAAGAACTCGCCTGCATGGTATCGATCGAGGGAAGAAATGAGCTGAGAACTATTTATGGCGATGGAATCTCCACACACTTTACATTCTTGTCTCCAGAGGCCGGTCCTGAATTACAGCCGGCACCTATCGCACGATCGAAAGAAGCCGGGAAACCTCCTGAAGACTTTACAAAATCTGGAGACAACGGACTTATGTACATGGGGGATGCGAACATCCGAAAGATCTAGAGGCACGCGCCGCGGCCGCTTGAGCGCCGGGAAAGCTCGAAGAGAACGTCGCTGGCAGATCAATCGTCCTCCCGAACGTTGGAACGCTCCGGAGGACGTTTGCGCCGCGAACGTTGGAACGCTCAGGCGCCTATTTGGCGGTCGCCGGAGGCGCGGCCTCGGACAGAGGCCCTTCTCGCGCGACGCTCTCCATCGATTCCTTCGCACCGCGCTGCACGTTCGAATCGACTGCAGGCGCTCCGAAATGGCGCTCGTCGTCGGCGTCCGTCGGGGCAGGGGGAGCGCGAACGGGAGGGGCGGCCGTGCCTAGAGCCAAGGCGGCGTCGAACTGCTCGGAGGCCATCGTTCGTTCGGCAGCGGGCTCCGGATCTGGGCTCCGTTGCAGCGGCCAGGCCACCTTCTCGTCGGGGCGGCGAGGCGTGCCGTCCCGCTCCTCCTCTCGCCGCGTGGCGCGGATCGGCCAGATCTGTGGCGGCCGTGGCTTCGTCGCCGGCACGCATGCACCCGCTGCGGGCGACACGTACCTCTGCTGTCCCCGCTCCACATGCCGTGCCCCCCCCCCGCGCCAAACCGTCGGGCTTTTGTTTCTTCCCAGCTTTCGGGAACCGGTCTCCCGGTCGACCTTCGGAAGCTTTCCCGTCTCGATCCCGCCGCTGCTCCGCGGCCCGGGTTCCGGAATCTGGATCCCTGGAATCCCCGAGTGGAATCGGCTCGAGGGGTGCGGCGATACGGTCCGGCGCGGGCCGTAGGGCTGTGTACACTTTGCATCTGGATCCGAGGGGGGAGCCGATGGAAAGGTACCTGTATGGACGTTGGCTGCCGGCGTCCTGCGATGAACACGAGCGAGCGCTAGGGGCTGAAGCGTTGGCGAGGCTGAGGCTGAGGGTTGGGCTTGCCCAATGGCACGGCCAGCAGAATGTCTCGCTCTGAGTGGGACGACTGACGACGGTGGGGTATCTGTCAGTGGACTCGAGGATCTGCTGCTGATTCTGGCCTCGAGCGAGCTCGAGGACCGACAAATGTATGTAAAGAGCGAAGAGCGAGTGAGTGGGTGGGCGATGCAAATGTATGGAGGCTGGGATGCGAGTGTCCTGCGAGAGTTTCTACGGAGACCACGTGGATGCAGTTTTCTGGGCGCAACTGATCGCCTCCAGCACAGAGAACATGCGGACTCGGATCATCGTCCGGGGGCGTATATGCAGAGGCCGAATGTTGTGAGTTGACGGAGTCCGGACGCTGCCTGCTTTTCCCGGCGCCTATAAATCCTCTGCCCGAGTCCGGAATGTCATTGCTCGTCATCATCCCCTCGGCTGTCCCTGTACCTTCGCGTTTTTCCCAGCTGCTGCGGTCGTTGATCACCGCCCAACTGCCATACTTTGTCCCGAATTCGCCAACACTTTGTCCAGCCCAGAGTCCGAGATGGCATCCGAGCAGATGACATGGGATTCCGGCAAGGAGAAGGACCTGCCATCGGAGGAAGCTGAGCTTACTGAGGATGCGGCTTCCCAGCGAGCCCATCAGACGGAGGAGCAAGCCGAACATGGAGCCCAGAGCAAGGCTCGAGAGGGCGGCCGTGCCGTTGGAGAGACAGCTGAAGGCGTCACGCAAGGCACTGCCGCCTCAGATCGGGCAAGCGGCGAGAAGCCCGAAGGTGTAATGCACAAGGTAAAGTTGCTTTCGAGTGCTCTCGAGCTACTGCAATGCTGCTGTCAGTTGTCGGCTGGTCCGATCGACGGACTTAATCGTAGTCTCTCTCCCTGCTCTACGTTTTCGAGGAGGTTGAACGAAGTCGCTTGCAGCTTCTGACCGGAGGCTCAATTGCCGGTGCCAACTGAGCCGCTGCCGTAACATATAAGTTCCTAGGTACTGAGGGTTTTATTGTTCCTTGCAATGCAGACCGGCGACAAAATCAAGGAAACCGTAGATAAATCCAAGGAAAAGATTTTGGGGCACAAGTAGCAGAGTGTTGGACACTTGACATTGTCACAGTCGAACTCTTTCTACTCAGCATCGACGAGAGAGCACGATATTTGGTGACTGGCACGGTAGAGAAATGACAGAAAGAATTGGCAACTTGTAGTAGTGATATTCGTTCAGAAATTCAACTCGTACCCCAAGCTACTCGACCCGTATAGGGTAGAAAACCGAAAGGGGTAACACTCGACAGCATCTGACACTTTGAAAACTCGCATCCTTGCAGAAGAGGTGCAGCAGATCTAGATCCCACAGTAAATGTGGATATTCACCCAAACAACAGAGAACTGGCATATGTCTTCCTTAACTCACTCGGGTATCTCCGAGTAATTTATTCTGATATTAGCTCGATCAATTGTCGTGTATAGAACTATCATCTTCCGGCTTGTAGAATAGTTAGTTAGTTATTCATATGAATATCAGCAAATTCGATAAGATTGTATCCATTTGGAGATTAGTTTTACAGTACATTGGTTAGCTTGTTCATCTTCGACTTCACAAGCATTTTGAAACGCTTGGATCTCATAAATATACCCAATCCTTGCATACTATGTACAAGTTGAAGATTCATCCTCACACAGCTTACCTAATCACTCGGATGATGTTCACGTTATTAAATGAGCTCCTAGATAACGTGACTAGTGTCAAATCGTGACACCGAAATGAAATTCACTTTGGTAGTAAAGAACAAATCGGGGAATATTTCGCTGAATATGAGGGTCCCAATATCCTTGAAGTACCTATTACTATGCAATTCACTTTATATAATGACTGGGTTCTGCAACGTACAAATGACACTCTCTATGATAATAGCTTTAATATAAGATTTGATATTGCAATTTATACTCATTATAAGCTGAATATCAAATAAAAATCTTATGTACCAGTACATTTGAAAATCGAAATTAAAATTCTCTACCATAGATGCTGTTTACACGGTTTAGACTTAAATTAATTCTCAATTTCCTTCCCTTTTTAAAATACTCGGTAGAATTATTTAAAAATCTGTTATATAAATTACATATCTTTATAAACTATCTTGTCCCCACAAAATTGTCCCCGAAAATGTTGATTTTAGTGATAATGAATAATTTTAATAATTTTAAATTCATATAAGATTTGAATTTAATTCTCTACATGTAATTGTTCATACATATAACTTGATAATTATGATTTATTTTTATTATATATGTCAATTATTCTAAACTAAAACTTTCTATCCAGTTTTAAATTTAAAGCATAAAATTCCATTTTATGGTATAAACTTCTTTACTTAAATTTTTTTATTGATATTATGTACATACACAATTGCTTATAAGATTTTCTCCAAGATCCAAATCATAGACAATTATACACTGTTAGATCGTTTATCATAAAACACATCTTGAAATTAGATCTTGGAGACAACATATTACAATTAGCTTTTTGAACTCATTAATGTTAGAAGTTTTCAACTTTTTTACATTTTTATAATATAACTTAAAAAATTTATCTTATCAATCATCTCAATCACTTTCAATTTGACTTATATTAAGACTGGAAAAATTACATCAATTTCTATCCAAATTCTAGTTAACTTGTCATTATCTATGTTTATTTTATTTAAAAAGGATTAATTTAAAAATTTATTTTTTATAATATAATAATAATATTTAATAGGCAATTATTTTTGTCATATGTCATTTATTTCCAGATATATTTATATGTAATAATTGTATAAGATGAGAATTAAAAACAATCATATGATGTTATTCAAAATATTTTAAATTATTATAATAAAGGAAAGTTTCATGTTATGTATCAAATGATGTGTTATTAAAATTATAATGTTCTCTAAGTAATTTTTCCAAGCCTAAGCTTTTATTGTGATTGGATTAAATATTGTGCAAAAAAATCAAAGATGACATAGTTTTGAATAAGTTGTGAAATTTGATGGGCATATACATGGTATATAAAGAGTTCAGTTCCGGGATAGAGTGCATAGATTTTTTTAATTTTGAGTTTTGAGTTTTGAGTTTCAAGATTGAACGTGAGAAGAGTCGGATTTTACAGGGTCTCTTTCTTCAAGCTCGGATGTGCAATGAAGCTAAAACTTTGTGCGAGCTTGAACTTGACACTGCGCATTATCCTGCAAAATTTCAAACAAAACACAATTCCAACTACAAAGTTGAGTCATTTTTGAGTTTCAAGTTTTTTAGAGAGGAGGGTCAAATCTTGCAGGAGCCATATCTTCGGATTGGAGTGTGAACGGGGTGTGAAATTGTAGTTAGGCAGGACATACTTGCTTGAAAATTTTCAGGTTAACAAAGTTTTGGTACAAAGTGTATCAATTTTTGAGTTTCAAGTTTCAAGATTTCAGGTTATGAGAGTCAAGTTTTACAGGTTCTGTTGTTTCAAGCTTGGGTGTGCATTAAAGCCGAAACTTTGTGGGAGCTTAGACTTAGACAGGACGCAGTAGTGTGCAAAATTTCAAACATAAATCAATTCCACATACAAAGTTGAGTCATTTTTTAGTTTTGAGTTTTTGATAGTGAGGCCCAAATCTTGTAGGAGCCATATCTTCGATATGGAGTGTGAATGAGCTGTGAAATTTTGTAAGAGCTTAGAATTAGGTAAGATGTACTTGCATAAAAATTTTTAGATTCCAAAAAGTTCCAAAACAAAGTGCATCAATTTTTGAGTTTTAGTGTCTAGATTTAAGGGGAGAAGAGTCAAATCTTACCTGATATGTTTCTTTGAGCTTGGATGTGCATTAAAGCTGAAACTTCGTGGAAGCTTGGACTTGGGCAGGGCACACTAGCCTAGTGTGCGGAGAGCCTGTTTGGATATCGTGCGCAAAAATTGTAAAGTTTTTCAAAACCTTCGGCGCTTCTTTCGTAAAGGCAAAGAAGTCTCAGTCGGACCAAGGAGTACTCGACCAGCAGGGAGGACTGAAAAATCAATGAAAAAAAAAGGTAAGAAAAATATGCCAACAATAAATCAGCTTGTTCGTAAAGGCAAAGAGTCGAAACGACGCACAAAGTGAATCCGAGCTTTACATAAATGTCCACAAAAGCAGGGGGTTTGCCTGCGTGTTTTGACAAGATCACCCAAAGCAAATTTTCAAGCTCAACGAAGAAACAGGTTTGTGTTCTGTTGATTACATGATGACTACTCAAAAGGAGATCCTAAATGTTATGCAAGCGGTTTCTCAAGATGATGTATAGAACCTAGTGCAAAAGGTTTTGGACGAAGTGAAGGAGATCAGATTCAAATTCAAGATGCAAACGGCTCAATTGATTCTTGCACACAGTCAAATCCGAAAGTTGAGGATATCATAAATCAAGGTGAAAAGGATGATCAAAACCGATAATTCTTTGGTGCTTGATATATCTATAAATGTTGAAGATATCTTAAAGAAGTTATGTTAACAAGAAACTTCTTCTACTAGTACTAGTTTGCATGAGGTGGCTGAAAATTTAGAAGTAGAAATGAAGTTATATGCTGAAGCTACTAAGGTTGCTCATATATTTTTTTGTTATGAACAAGAGATTGAAAAGTCAAATCAATTTGCCCGTAGAAATAATGTGAAAATTTCATATTTACCTAATTGAGAACGAAGAGATGAAAGTGTTGTCACTAAATTTTTGATTGAAACACTTTATGCTCTTAATCCAAATTTAGCTCAAACTTTTCACATTGGAAACACATGAACACAATCTTGTGCCATTATAGTTAAGTTACTTGATCAAACTCAACGTGATACGATTTTAACTAACATAAGTTCATTTTCAAGGTACGGAAGATTTGGTTGGATCCTGAACTTACACCTCTACAAGTAGAGGCAAGGAGAAAAGACCTTACAAAAGTCAAAGAAGCTCAAGATGTTGGATTTTTTTTTCCTAATTTCCGTGATGGACAAGCGATTGTTACTCAGCTAATTAATAAATCATCAAACTAGCAATCCAAGAGCTTGAGAGTGTTAATGTGGAATAAAGAAATAGTCAAAAACAAAATATGTGAGTGCTGATGCGATTTGAAAGATGACGGACATCATCAACATTGTGGAGACGTGAGAACATGAGAGCAACACTATTGAAGAGATACCAAGGTTTACTTTGATAAGATCCACTTGAAATCATAGAAGTCAATGAGCAAAAAGAGGCTATGGCGATATTGCACTTTCATCAAGTCTCAATTTCTACCTCTAATGCATCTAGAAGGTCAAAATATTGAAGTTCAATATCATTGGCTTCGTCTTGGATTGGCTAGAGTATTCCATAGTTATTTGATTGTTTGTTACTTTGCAGCATTGTCCATGCCTATCTACTTCACACACACTTGCAATTGAAGTCAATCATTTCATTGACTTATACGAAATGTTTTCAATTATTAAAACAAAGTTATTCTTGTTGGAGATTTCAATGCTTCGCATACGTTATGCTCAATCTATCCAAGTTGGTGATTTTAGACTTTTCTGTTTGAAGAACTTGAAGATAGTATGTGGTCTAGAATCTCTTTTGATACTTCTACAAATCTTTTGACTAAACACTTTTAACTTTTGGAGCCACTTGTAATTTGAAAGTTCTCAATGACATCTGTCTCTTTTCCAACTTCCTTTCCAATACATGTTTTTCTTCTATTGATGTTAGCACTATTGATTATCTTCTATCATCAACCACTAGTAGCTTTCTAATCTCAAAGTTTGATATTCTAAAACCTCAGCCAAAATTAAATCATACACCTCTTTTATTTACTCTATTGTTGTCAAAAACAATCTCTCTCTACATGCCATTCTCTTTTAGCTTTACCCAAGTTTTGTTTAGATCTTAGTAAGAAAAATCTTTACATGCTACATTTTCAATATCTTTTGATCCACATTTCATGGAGATTTCATCCACATATAGAAAATTTGCAACTAACAGAGTTGCTTAGAGACATAGCTTCTAAGTTCTTTTTGCAGCACAAGGATTGGAGAGCTAGAGGTCTACCTTGCAATGGATGGTTTGACTTTGATTGCAAGCAAGAGAGTATGAGATTTGTGAACAAGTCTTTGGATCTTCAAAGTCGTCTTATTCTGACAGGGCTTTACAAAGATTTGTTTAAGTTAAAAAACAAGTTCTTTTGAGTACGAAGCAAGAATCCTTGACAAAGGAGCTGATGGAGAATCCTAAATCTTCTTAATCACAATTAGCAATACGATCTTCTAGATACACTCTTGATCCCAAGAGTTTGATTGACTTTTCTGAAAAGCTTTATTTATTTTCCAACGCTACATCAATGCCACGTTGTGAAAAAATATATGGCTTATTTTCATAATCAAAGGAGTTGACTCAAGTCAAAAAATTAGCAAATGATAAATCAGAGGATTTGGATGGTCATTCTATTGAAATTTTCAAATGGGAAGGAGAATTTATTGGATTAATACTTTTCAAAGCATTAAAGAATGCTGCTATGTATGGTTCTCCTTCAACTTGTTCTTTTTTTTAAATTGTTTCTATTCATAACTCAGGAAGCAAGAACTTGGTGACAAACTATCGCACTATCATAGTGGGTAGTGTTTTTGTCAAGTTGTTTGGCATATTGATGGAGTCAAAGTTGAGCATATGGACTGAATCTCATTGAAAGAGAGCACGGTTTCAAGCATGTTTTTGCCTTACATACAACACCATTGATCATATCTTGGCCTTGCGTGTTTTATGGGAGAAATCTACAGCCAATAAAAAAGCTTTATTTTACATCTTCATTGATCTTAATAAAGCTTTTGACTATGTATCTCGTGAGCTCTTATGGAAAAGTTTGCAAGTTATTGGAGCATCACCAAATCTTCTAGCTTTTGTGAAAATGTTATACCATTCAGTTTGGACCAAGATCAACATTTTTCAAACTGAAAAGATTTTGAATATCATTTGAGTAATTCAAGGTTAACGCTCTCTCCTATTCTATTTGGAGTTTTCATAAATGATATCGAATAGTGGTCGGATGCATGTGATAGTGAAGGTCTCAAGCTTGAAAACTTTGTTATCAAAGCTCTCTTGTTTGCAGATGATATCATATTACTAGCACGTGACGCAATTAGTTTACATAATACACTTTAGTTAGCTTTTGTATCGAAATCATATGGAATTAAGTATGAAAAAGTCTAAAATCATGATAGTGGGCACTAGATCAACATTTTCTTTCTATTACAAGGACCTACAATTAGAGGAGATGAAGAGTTATAAATATTTAGGTGTTGATTTTTCTAGAGAGTGGTTAGTTATACCTCAGTTTTGATTAATTATCCCTCATCCTACTCAACAGAGCTCTCTGATTGATTAGCCTACTGAAAAGAGTTCTATAATTGGTCAGGCATATCTCTAAGTTTACTAGAGCTCCGTGATATAATCTTCGTGATCACAGAGAAAGGGAAAGGATTAGCGCACATTAGACTAGAATGAGAAATAATTAGTACAAACTAAGGAATAATTAGCAGCTCCCTTTTTTTAATGATTATAGTTGGGCACTTTGCGTGCAAAAGAAAGTAGAAGGTGGTTACCAAGCTCTATATTTATTGCTCAATTAGTGTAGAAAGTCTCATCTAGTGTTTTTGAGTCTTAGGAAATTTTTATTGAGAAGATAGATTGTGAAGAGGGTGCAAAAGATCTTTCTACAAGAAGAATTGGGTGTAAGAAATCAAACTCCATATGCTATTGTTCTTGCGGAAATAGGTTGTTTACCTTCAGAAGCTGAAGCTCTATACCTGATGTAGGTGATGACTTTTTTAGTAGGGTGAGATCTTTTGATGCTTCTCGTCTTCATTTTCAAATTTTTCGTGCCACATTTGCGTAAGTATGGTTAGTGGATGTGGTAACTTGGTCTTTGAGGTGGAATGTGGCGGAACGCAATTAGAAACTGCAACCTATGGCACTCCAGAAATATCTACATGAGGAGTTTATGAATATTATTTGGAGCAAGTGTAGCATCAAGATGCACTTTTATCAACTTCATGTGAATCTTACTTTTGTTTATTGTGAACAAGAATACCTACTTGCAGTAATCTCTACTTCCTTACATCATATTATTGCTAGACATAGAACTTGATCGGATAGGCTTGGAATTAAGTAAGTACGTTACTTTAATATTGATAGTAATGAACTTATGTGTAGGTTATATGAAGAATTTGTATTTGTTACTTCTTCTAGATACGAACACATTAGTGTTGCTCATAGTATGTATATCATACTAGATGTGGAGAATTTCTATTCTTTATTACAATTAGGTACTCTGAGTATGAAGAACTTGTATTTGTTATTTCTCCTAGATACGAACACATTAGTGTTGCTCATAGTATATATATCACCCTAGATGTGGAGAATTTCTATTCTTTATTACAATTAGATACTTTTGATTTCGATTGTTATATTAGAGACATTTTTAATTATCGTTCTAGTGCTCTTGGCACTAGCTAGGGATTTATCTTTGAGTTCTTATATCTTGTTTGTGGTTTTCACTTGTATTGTGTTTGTCAGTCTTTTGACTCTTTGGGTCTCCCAATCTTGATCTATTACCATTTAGCATGGATAGATAATTTTAAAAGATTCTTTTTTGTTAACGATTGCCATTTTTTATAAAGTAATGTGATAAATATACCATCCATGTAAAATGACTTAAACATCTTATACTTTGACATGATACATCTGTGAGAAAAATTCAAAAGACATAGAATATATTTTTTGGGTGTCAATTATGCTGATTCAAAGTGGAAAAATAACTCTACTTTCTGGGTTTCACTTTCTTATTAGTTATTTCGTGTATTTCAGTTATTTTTTTATCATTGATTTTCTGCAAGTATCAACATACATACAAAATGATAATCTATTACATCGGAAAAATAATCTCACATAATTATAAATCTATCAGTATTATTGATGCAACCTCAGGTCTCATACAATCTGGTTTCTAGTCTTAGATGCCAACTTTGTCGAACAAAGTGCCATACTTAGATTATGTAGGCGATTGGGCCACAAACTCTCATTTTATTAGCCGCGTACGCCTTATCTCCGACAATTGCACATTTGCTTGTCCTCATGAGTAGACCGACGTCGTTTTAAGTAAAACAGGCGGTGAAATACAGTCTATAAACGGTCCAACGATCAATAGACAGCAACATCACGAAAAGCTCGAAGATGCCGGTGATAGCTACCCTTTCTAGTTCCTGCTCCGTCCGGAGTCCTGCAAAAATCGAGGAATCTCAGATAATTGAGGATTGAACCAATTGGTTGCGCATCCAAAAACAAATCTCATTTCTTAAAAGAAAAAAGAAGTCTCCGGCTTCGTTTACTGAACAGGGACAAGTACACTCTTCAATTTGTGATTCCACGAATTGCATTCGTAGGTGCTGTCATCCGAACAAAATGCTGTCGCACCGACCTTTCACACCCGAAAGGCTCAAACAAATTATCGCCAAACATTGTTTGCTTTCGTTGTATAGAAACAATTAAATTAAACCGCTCGAAACGTACCAAAAATTCCACAAATAAAACCTGAAGTATACCCAATCAACTTAAAATGGTTTACTTTACTTAGCATATATTCTGTCATTAGACGCAGTGGCTAGTTTGTGCTTGAGTTGCTCTTCACTTGCTTCGTTTACAAGTCACAAGGCCCAGGTCCAGATAGTATCACATATGACACTTGTGATAACCACTTAACATATACTGCTTCAATTTCCATGTTTATTTTCGTACACCTAAGTCATGGGAAGGTCTAGTCACCTGTTAGAATATCTAGCATGAAGTATGGTTCAATGATACCGCAATTAAAGGTTTAAACAGTCAGGTGGAAGAAAGTGCATCTGATTCTTCTTCTCAGTACTACCTTCTGTAGTTTACAAACACATTGACATCTTGATCAGCTTTACTTAGTAATCTTGAAAACAGAGAATTGGAAAAAAGAAAAACAGATTTGACTACTTTCTTTCAATGACGTTTTCAGACAGAATATACAACCTTCATAAAGACTAATAAAATTTCGACAAGAATTATTATATCGGCGAATGTACTAGGCGTTTTTACTCTGGAAAGACAAAAGTCGAAGCCCACAAGAGTCTTCTAGTTGAAGAGTATCAGACAGTCCAACGGCCAACAAAATTATATGAGTGCTCAAAATGAAGGACATTTGATTCCCCTGAAGGCTGAGAACTTAGCTTAATATCTAATTCCTGCCCTATTCTACCGGGGAGAATCACACTCTTAACACCCTGATAACAGTGCTCACTGTGATACGGTCCTGATTTAGCACTCACTTGGTACTGCCGTAGTTTTGCAGTCTTTCCTCGACTGGTAGGCACCGGTTGGTTCTCCGATAACTGGATGGTGACTGCACAAGTCGAATACTTTATGAAATGAATATTACACCAGGACAGGTAGACTGGATCTCGAACAGGCTAGCCGAAATTCCTCCTGTGAACATTCGTGTAGATCGATAAATACGAACCCAATAGCTTCCATTTGGAAGCAGATAGGTGGGCCACATTAGACCTTCAAAAGTACTTCAAACTTGATCGAAAGAGAAGGACAGCACTGATTGATAACCAGATGTTGACAAAATTCTAGCATATACAATTAACTACAACTCATTCGACTAAGGACCAGGATTTCGTCCGAGAATATTTCACACAAAAGCAAAAAGTCACTTTAAATTACGCATAACTATCCAGCATCACGTATACAAAACCGTGATTCTCGTTTGATGTTCGCCTGCACAAACAAATATATCAAACTTGTTAGCTCGTTCGTTCCCGAGGAAATCTCCGGTTTGGTCACTGTTTACTATAGCAATCGAAGCAATAAAGTACACGCTCACAGCCTCCTCTTGTTAATAAGGTAACAATAATCGCTGCATAGTGTTAGTTAATGTGTAGCGCTCCAATACATCGCCTGAAAATCCTCAAAAAAGACATCAACAGCAGTAAAAAGTAAACACTACATATATGTCCTGAACACAAAACACAGAAACTACAACGCCTGGTCATTATCAATTCCATCACTAGTTCTGGTTGCCTTTTGATACCTATTCACACGAGCAAAGTTTAGCATGGTTATAGAGGAGGGAGAAGAGAGTGTAGGACTAACAGACCGTCTATACATGACGTAAGCACCAAATGCAAGACCGGCCGCCGCAGATACAGTCACCAGGCTTATCATCATGATAGCCCACAGAGGCAGACCCTTCCTCTTGTGAGGAGAATGACGTTCTTTGTACACTCTGTGCTCTTTGTACTCTTTGTGCTCTTTGTGATGCTCTTTGTGGCGCCGCTCTTTATGGTGTAATGATATAGCATGGGAGTGGTCACCACCATGACACGGACGTGTATTACAATATTCCTGCTTTGGTGGCTGTAGAACGTAGAAGCACTTAATGAGCACACAAGTCTGGCAACATCGAAATCTTCATCTCAACTCAGCTGTCTAAACTGACCCAAAAATCATATGCACTCACCATTTTAAGCGGATCACATTTCGTTTCATTAACATAATATAACTGTTGCGGAGAATACTCCAAACTTCCTACGCAACGAACACTTCTTTCCCTTATTCCACCTCCACAAGAATTTGAGCAGACACCCCATTCGCGAGTTATCCATCTCAGTACCTCTGTCAAATCAAAGACAATATTCGCTTAGAACTTTAGGAAGACGGACAGCTCTATCGACCAGCACATATATAACCATCCAAAAGTCAGATAAAAAGAAAATTTTTTAGTTTAAAAGAGCCATAGGGGAAGAAACTAGAATAGGACAAAAGTATGAAGGACATGAGCAACATGTACGCTTTGACACAACAAAAGAACCCACCTATTCGCTTGAGAATCTTTTCTTGATTTGCGCTAACAGGAATGCACAATTGGAAACCTAAAGAACAATGAAGTGCAAGCCAACCAGATTGTGTTTTCTAGCGAGTTTGATTGGTTGATACGTAGGTCTGGATAGTCTCAGGAAGAAAGGAAATATTGGTATGTAATATGCATCACTGAGAGATCAAGCCTCTATCGCAAAATAGAGAACTTCAAACTTCTTCATCATGGAGTCTGGGTTTAAAAGGCCGAGTTTACAAATCCTGACACTCTGCCCAGCAGTACTTTCCTGTCATAGACTGGAGAATATAAACCACGCGCCTGAATATTGTGTAATAATTAAGAGATTGCGTGGTAGATGAAGAGGAGATGGAAGGAGACCAAGAGTGGGAGAAAAAAGATAATTGACTACTTGAGGCTCAACAAGGTCTCTCTATCAAGTTGGAAACAATAAAGCACCCAATCGAAATGACCACGGATGCATCCGCTTTGAGATATGTATCAAGGTAATAATCTGAAGAGCTAGAAATCCCCCAGCAGATCAGGATAGGACCACAATTTGCTCTCATGGTCGAACATGCTGCATTTCTTCAGATAATGAACAGGTATTTCATCATCGCTGCCACTCAGGATACAGAGTTTTGGTATGGTTCCCCAGTATGCTCTTCCTCTGTTTGAGAATGATGATAACCCACTGAAACTTGAACTATTGCTGTGTACCCAAACAAGGAGAAAGTGTTTACAAATCACGGGTTCAAAGTGGCTAACGAGAGTTCTAATTTGTACTTCACTTCGTCTAAGAGAGGAGTATTTCTATCTATCGCTTGAGTTTGAAATGGCCCTTCTTCTCTTCTTGTTGCCCTCCCAATGTCCTACACCTGACTCAACAAGGATTTACTAGGTTGCCCTTGACTTTCCAAACTCCACATAGATGCATGCGCATTCAAGAATACCAGTGATTTGGCATATGGTGCAGCTGTACCACATTGAAACTTTAATGAAAAAAGATCTTACTGGTTGCCTCAGAAAAACTTCCAAAAACATAAGGTAAAGTAACAAGCTGCCAAATGAGAACTGCCTTGACCGATGCAAGAGCAAATAATAGGTTAAGTATTAAGAAAATACCTCGAGACTTAGGTTGAATGCTAAGCTGGGCTCCACTTCGGCAAAACCCAGTTTCAGCAATATGATTGGTGACTTTCGCTTCCGAGCAATCGCTACAGCACATCCAATGATTTCCTACTTCCACTCTATTTGGACAACGTGCGCAATCATCGCTTGGGATAGGTGTTTCTGTGTTTACCAAGATTAAATTTCAATCAATGTTATCTGACTGCAATGAATCACACAAGCTAGCAAATATAACGATACAAATCATGAAATATAAACACATCAACTTTGGCGATAGCGTATTTGCACCTTGACGAGACATGTTTTGCCCACCCTATTCACAAAGATGACACAAGCGGGTTCTTATCACATATGAACATCACGATTATGGGCAATAAAGGACATAAAGTAATCATCATCACTATGCTTGGGTCTTACCTTCGTTGCAGCACTGAAAATGCGTAAAAAAAGGAAGGCAGGCTGGATAATGAGGCTGTGGACATAAACCATTGCAATCCTCTGACTGATCCACCATAATCCGACCAGTTCCACATCCTCCTCCCATCCATCTATTAAAGCACGAACCAGACCAAAAGCAAACTGGAAATAATAAACTCTTAGTCGGATTTAGCCAATTGGAGAAGTACGACTTATTGATTACAATTTCCTTCGCTTTACTTCGACTTTTATCGTCTTCAAAGAAGAAATGACCAGTTATCAATAAGACCTCTCTTCCACTCAGGTTACTGACCAACTCAACAGATGCAAGTTCCATGTACACTTGCAAGAAAAACTAAGGTATATTTCAAGTTTTGAGATCAGACGGGTAGCTGTAGACCGAGTCCAACTGAATTAAACTCCAGATACAAAGCAAGCTTTGCATTCATCCCTTTTTTTTGGCTGATGCACCACCATGACTTCAGGAGGTCAGAGGTTTACTTTTACAAAAGCGTGTGGGCTGTTTGCTCGGGTTGGACGTGGATCTGTTTTACAACAATTAAGTAATGATGTGAATGATCGCAAAACCAACAACTGATATTGATAATAACAGTATGGCCTTGTGACCTTGTTCACTATGGTGTATCATCCTGTTTCCTGGGACCTTAGATATATAAGACTCATTATTTTATCAGGATGTATACTCTGCCTCATCAGAATTTTATCTTTGCAAAATAAGCCGAAGATCTACCCCTCCAGGTTCTGCTACCGCATCCCAAGGACCGTGTAAGACTTTCAAAAGTTCGATGTCCACTGTACGGCTGAGGGGCATGGCTTCAATCAAATCATCCTAGCTCTAATCATCGAACTTAGTTACAGAATAAATCCCCATCATGAAACGTTTAGCTCACAGACTGCAGTGAAATTCTTATAATGGTTCTGAGAAGCAAAAGACGAGACTTGATATAAGTCCAAAGTTTCATTTGCTATCATGACATCAAAATAAATGAACCCCAATCATCGCAAAATCAACTGACGACCCAGAAGTACAGTTCAATGGTTGCTAAGCTAACTATGAAAAAAAAAAAATTAACAAGAATTGAGTTCACTCGTGCTGCTGTTCATGCTTTCAGAGATGACACAAGTATCCCTAGCCCTACTCGAGGTTAAAAGGCTGACGAAAGAACAGAACAGAGAGCAGAAGCACAGTGGTTGTCCTGTGGAAAGCACCTTCTCGTGTCCGGCTCTGATTTCTAAATTGACAAAAGCATACGAGGGAAAGAGTGCTCCAGCACAGTTGTGACAGACCTAACGTCCCATGTGATCAAACTCGGATGAACAAACAGAGACTTTAGAGAAGGAAAAAAAAAAAAAAAATGTGTCTAGATAGAAGAGACCCAACTTGGTCCAACCAAACATACACGGGCGAGAGAACTCTACAATGCACACATGCACCGTCACATTCATCAGCGAGAGTCGCAAAGCCATGCCACTAGCCGAATTACGCGCCGATGAGACACAAGGGGCGAGGACGAAGGACAACAGAGCGACTCATCGTCAAATTCAACTCGCAGCATTAGGTTTGGTACCTTCGGCGTTGACCGCGGATAGAGACACCAAAATGGTCAGGAAACTCGGGAGCAAAACACCCGCATCCATGTCGAGACCCTCGCGAACCCGGGCTCCACAAATCTTCGATCTCCTTGTCAAACCACTACGCTCAGAATTCTCTCATTTCAGATCCAGCTCCGTGGCACGAAGTCCCAACTACATGCCTACCTGCCAGCCAAGTACAGCAGACCTCGTCTACGCCCCGATGCGCTTTAGCTCTGGTGCCCTAGTGCAGCCACAAATCCCTCCCTCCCTCGCTGCCTGCCTGACTGACTCTCTCTCTCGACTCACCGCCTGGCCCCGTGAAAAGCGATCCTGCTTACGCTCCATGCCTCCGACATCCGTTTGAACACTTATGGGACACCCGGAGCATCATGAGCTCCGTAAGTGACCGCGCAGCAAAACACCAGGGCCACAATTCTCTCTCTCTCTCGCTCTCGCTCGCTCGCTCGGTGCCACCACGAAGTCAAAGGCCCGGCGGGCGCTTCATGCACGGTCCCAGGTCGCAGGCTCCAGTTGGCCTGGCCCTCGAGCGGTGCCAGCCCGCGAGGTCAAATCTCCATGCCCTTCCCGGCACTTCTCTCGGCCACTAGCTCCAGGTGCGAATCCGACATTCGGGTCACCGCGGTTACCGATCGCGCTCCCAGCTCCGTAATCTTCTCCCACGGATCCAAAGAGTGACCTGCAAGCCTTTCATTTAACCATAAGAGTACCGATTTATTTAAGCTCATATTTAATTCTTAAGTGTGATTTCTCCTCCGAGGTGCCAGAGGATAAGCGTCGATGTGAGGAGGTTTGGCCGGGGGAAGGTATTACCTCGACTGCTGCTGCCGAATGTGTTTCTCGATTCGTCACGTCTGTTTCCCCCGGCCGGAATCTTTTCAGGAATATGCTCTCGTTTCCCGGAGAACGTGATGAACGTGGGATGTATTCGTATAGATACGTATTTGTAGCGCTTCCCTGTACGATACGGAGAACTGTCACTGTGGACGAGAAATTACGGCTCGGTGGGGGAAAGCTTTTCGCCCTGTGGGTTGTGACAGTCGGACATCGCCTTTGCCAGAGATTGTGTGTTCGTCTTTCGACGAGTTTCGCACTCTAATGTGGATTAGGCGGGGTTCGAGGCACCTGGGGGACAACCGAGGAACGTAATCGCTGCCACCGACTGTCTCGAAAAAGCGACGGAAAGCGAGAATTGTCAAACCTGCTGAAGAGATGATGAAGTGGTGGTCTCGCGAATCGATATCGGGGCCGACGTCACCATCCCCTGCACCGAGCTCGACAAATCCAAGAGCACGTGTGGAGGACCATTTTTAGCGCCAGACGCAGTGTAGGCCATGTACTTGTCGTCGACGTTTTGACTGTCCAACGGCCGGCGAAAGGGCCTGCAAGGTTCCCGTGTGTGCTGCAATTCCATGCACGACGGAGCTCCGTCTCGTGCTCTCTCCTGAACTTTCCCGTGCTGAGCTCTCCCTGCAGAACCTCATCTCCTTTTACGTCCAAACAAAGTTCACTGTCTTGAAACTCCCCATCGGGTGGCTCGACAACACTAACGACACCTGGTGACGACATCTGCGGACCTTCCTCATTTCGGTATCTTTTTCTGAACATGTTGAATGTAGCTTCCCTGAGGAGGTTAAAAGTTCACATTTCTCTGGTTCTTTGAGTAAGCACGTTTGTTTATAGCGCTCCCCGTAGACTATCGAAGATGGTAATAAAATCCGATAGAGAAAATCTCTAATTTCTGCACGGGCCGTACATCACTTCAGGTTATAATGTATTCCAAGTCCGCTTACTTATAGACAAACCTCGTGGAAAAAGGTGATACTATTCTAACGTGTACAATATTAGTATCATTCACAAATGAGTAATACAAATTCCTTATAAGAGTCGATCACTCCAGGCAAATCCAGGTATTGAAATTTTGCCCACTGTAATTCAAGATGGTTGACGATCTTGCTATCCAGCTTAACTCCGTGTTTGTTCTTTCTTTAGTTCAAGATCAAACTTTTGGATCAGAACCAACACTTGGACGCATGCTGTTGTATGTTGGAACAAATGTAGTAAGATCTCCAGTCGTGCGAAACCGTTGAGATGATGGAATTACGCTCGTCAGGCATTACTTGTAATCTTGCTTTTGTAGCACTGCAGTAATGCCAAAACCCTCTTATATGGAGAATAGAAATTCACATATGGATGCTCTTCAACCCCAAGGACCAGGTTTTGTGGAGTATCCACCAAAAGATTCTGGACTGAAGCAACTAAGGAACGCGCTAGATAGCTAAAATGATGGGAGAACCCGTCAAGTAGCACAGGAATGAAACCACACGGTGAGGAGGATGGGACTAAGCCAATATCGTCACAAAGATAAGTTGACAAATACTTCTGTCCTATTTCACCCAGCATATCCAAACTATCTAGATCGAACATAGTACTCGTGCATACTAAGAAACATTCCTATGCTGGAGTATACGAAGGATCACTACCTAGCGTAATTGGTATCGTAGTAGGACTTATAGAAAGTGGGGCCACATGGATGTTAAAAACGATGGGAATGCATCATCGTGCCAATTGCGTGTCATCGAGGTTTTTAAGTACAATATTGCATGTCAATGAGACTACGGAGTTGCCTTGAAAGTACATAAGGGTACGGTTGCACAAAGTCTCGAGACGGGTCGGTAAGAATCGAGAACTTTGCAAACCAGTTCACAGATATTCCAACGACTCTACAAACAGTGTCTACAGAATTTACCACTGCATTTTTGTCTTGGGGGACTTCTTGCCAGGCATCTTTCGTATGCGCGTCTTGCTTCCACGCTTGCAGACTACATATCCGTTTCCTGTCCTTGCGTTGACGACTTCATCGTGACATTTGGCGAGAATTTCGACATTTAAATATCTAACGTATTATGCGAGCCACGAAGGTTTCAGATATTGGACAGCATTCGTTACAAGAATTTCCAGATACTGCGTTGAGGACTCAATCCTGATCTTGTCACCTAATTTACGCTACTGCTGTCTGCCTCGCCTTCCACTTCAGAAGCTTTCTATCCATCCGTCCATGACACGCGTACCACCATACTGTGTTACACAGAATATCTACCGTGTAAGAAACAAAATGAATCCGATCAGCGCTTCGAGGCTCCACATTCGCACTGACCGACTTACCTCACGTCGGCTTTCCACCCAAATCTCTGCGCCACGTTCTTCACATAGAAAGCGAGACTTTAATGACGAGTTCTGCTTTGATAGCGGCGTGTCACCCGAAGTATTATAGCCAGTTGATGTGGAGACACTCAGCAACGTAGGTATTTATGCAGTTGTGTGTATATGGAGGCAGACAGCAAACTCCAGTAACTTGTCCTGTTGAACTTATACGCAAACCAACAAAATCTGCATGATCTTCTGGTCCTCTACAGTGTAAGCTTACTCTGCTGGCAGAAGAGAATCACATGTTGCAGAATAATTCCTGGAGAAAACACGAGTGTATATACACTCTTCCTCTCAAATCTCCAGCTGAGGTGATGATAGTGTCATCCACCTTCATGCACGTTCTGGATACGAAACCAAGAGAAGGAGAACATTGGCCTCATTGCAGCTATCTGATATACAACGAACTTACAACCATCAAACGGACTTCGACCTTTCATCATTTCAGGATCTGATCCAGTTCTCCGCTGCAGAGGTCCCTACATAAATTTCCATTTCTCTCTACTATCTTCCATGGTTAACCGTAATCTAAATTCGGGAGTGCTGCCCAGATATCTAATGTATGTCTACAAAAACAATGGCAAAGTTGCGCTCAAGTTGCATATCGGTGGTTCCCCACCGACATGCAAATTCTTCAAATGACATCATGCCGCCCTGTCCAAACAACAATTTGATCGTAACATTACATTCACAACTGGTCAAGTCAAAAATGTTGCCATATGATCAGGTGTAAGAAGGTACAGACAGAGCTTTTCCAGATCTTCCTGACCCATTTGTTGACGCACCAACGACTTCGATGTGCGTGTAAGGTACCAATGAGAAGGGATCTTGTTCAGAGACTGCTCCCTTTTCCTCCATTATCCGTGCAATGTCCTTCTTCCCGAGGGCATCGCAGTCAAGTAAATGCTCAACCATTGCTTCCAACACTGGCCTATTGTTTTGCAGAATTTGTGCAGCTTTGTCACATGCACAGTAGAATAGTCTGTTGATGTCCTCTGAGACTCCCTGCTCATGCTCATCTCCCATAGATAGAGCAGTAGGCGACCCATCCGTTTGGTATATCATGGGGCTGTCATCGGGAGCCCACCCGTACTCCATGACCATACGTGTGGCAATTTCTTTCGCACCCTCCAGCTCAAACTTGGAGAGACTGTTATTCTGACCAAAGGGCAGAAGCATGCGCGAGGCGACAAACGAGCCAAAACATGAAACTAGCTCCTTTTCGTAGTATGAGCGACTCATTGTTCCAGTCTCTTCGTAACCTCCGTCCAACATCTTAGTCGTTTTGGTGAATGCGATACCCTCCCATGACGTTGGATCTAACCAGATCAGGTCGACTGTGTCGTAGTTGGGAAGCAATAAAATTACTAACGCCTTTCCTACCGCCCAGACTGCATGCGGAAACTTGAATTCTCTCGTCCAAACGTAAGGAGGATCATAGAGCTCAATTCCGGGTTTTGTTTCCCCGTATACGTCGAGAAACTCTACGGCATTATTAAGATCTTGCTGTGTAACACGGAGACCGAGCCAATCAAGCAGATCATTGTTATACTTTTTGTACCACTTGCTATCCATGAACCACTTGGGAGCTACTTTGCCTACCAGTGCCAGCCAACCGAATATACTGAACAACTCTTCGTCATCCACAATTTTGTTAGAAACTGCGTTGGCCTCCAGCCCCTGAGGAACGTGTTTGAGTTGCGCTGGTGTTAGACCTCCCGTTTTCTCAGCTACCCTGTTCCAGTCAACTAAATCTACCAAGTGTGCATCCATAGTGGTGAGTGCTACTTGTCTCAAAATCTGTTCACGCTCACGCTTGTTCGGCAACGGTAGCTCTATGGTGCGGTCCATGCGTCCAGGTCTACGCAGAGCTTCATCAATGGCATATGGCCGGCTAGTTGTGGCGACTAAAACCACACCTTCCTGCGTCTCAAAACCATCAAGCTCCACTAGGAGCTGATTAATCAATGACTCGTGGTCCTGCTTTCTGGTATCTGACGTTGCACCTCTAACACCTGCAAAGTGATCAAAGTCATCCATGAAGATGATAAGAGGTGCCAATTCTCGTGCAGTTTTAAAGAGCTCTCGCACATTAGAGGCACCCTGACCGACCCAAGATCCACCCTCTAGCTCAGCACCTTGTAACTCAATCATTGGAACTCGTGCTTCAGCTGCAATAGCGAGCGCCAAAGTCGTCTTTCCTGTGCCAGAATCCCCTACAATCAGAACACCTCGAGGTGGTCGGGCTCCCATCTCTTTGAAAAGCTTTGGATCCCTCAAAAAGCTGATAACCTCACTGATCTCTTCCTTGATAACATCTATTCCCGCGAAGTCCTTCAGCAGAACTTCAGGACGCTTCACCCTTTTCATCTTATCAAAGACGTTCTTGATAGGATCCATTGTCTGCTTCTTGGTTTGAGGCTCTAGCTCCTTCTCCATCTCTTCTTGCAGCTGTTCCTTCCACTCTGCCTCGTTCATTTCCAGATCCTGAGGTTTGAGTGGAGCAAGTATTACTCGAAGAAACAGTTTCAGGAAGAACAGAAGGGGCACTCCCACGACATACGATCTTACTGGTAGAGAAATCCACCATGCTGCAGAACCACTTCCTTCTCCATACCTAGCATCGACATGTTTCTGAGCCTCCTGCTGCCAGATCATAACGTCAGTCGGCTCCGCAGCTTCTGCCCCTTCAGCCAAGTCAAAACCCAGGGCAACACGTATACTTTGAGGCATGACAGTCTGGATGATGGGAAATCCAAATCTGATCATCACCTCTTCGAAGGCCCCATTCAGCGTTCTGAAGTACCAGGGCCTTATAGCTGTTAAAATGCTCGAGTTCCACACATCCTCAAGCAGCCAGTACACTATCTTAAAAGGTAGCTGAAAAAGGCGTTCGAATTCCCACTCCTCAAAAGGAATCCACATGGTTTCCATGTTTGTGGGTACTCCTGAGGTGATGAGCTTCATGTACATCATGTCAAAACCCCCAACATCCTCGTACTCTGCATGAAACGCCCTGGTATTTACGTAGTATTCTCGGTCATCTCCTTTTAGTGTCAGATACATGACACAGCGATCCTGGCGGACACGAGCGCGTCCAGCGAGTTTCTTATCAATAGCGTGAAGAGCTGCCATCGGTTCCATCTGCCATCTTTTCTTCTGCTCATCATACCATGTTCTATTGAGGACTCTATCTCTGGCTATCAGAATTTCTTCCTGCACTTCTTGAATGAACTCTTCCCTCTTTTCAGGATTTTCCCTCAGATAAGTTCTGAATTCTTCATCTTCTGTCTCTCCCCGCCAGTTTTTCCAGTCAAGAGCCATCTGTAGAGGATCCACTGACGGATTCTTCAGTGGTCCGAGACCAAATGTTGCCCTCAACTCCCGAGGCAGCAGAGCCCTTACCTGCGCGAGACTCTTTTGGTACTCAGGGTCTTCCTCATTCAGTGGATCGTACACATTTTCCACGAGCTTGTTCATGAGTACCTGCAGCTTTTTGGCCTTCTCCTGCTCTTCGTCAATTTTCTGCAACGTTTCTCGATCCTCGTCATCAATACAGGACTCGAACGGTTCAATTCTCATATCAACCTTGGCTGCTAATGGCAGTATGCTTGCCTCCTTCTCAATATTCCTCACCTCCTCAACATGTCCTGCAGTTGACTCTAGTTCTTGAGCGTACTTCTGTTCCTCGCTTCCTTTCTTTTGAGCCAGTATCTCCTTCCAGAGATCCGCTATTCTTACAACTGCAGATTCCATCAACATGAATTTTCTCCACGACACGACTACCCTATCCTCTACTTCTTTCAAATACTCTTCTTTTGCTGCCCGCTCCATCGACCCTAATTCTGTCGTCTCCAGCTCTCTCACGAGTGATTCATATTCATCGGCGCTAGTAGCTACCTCTGCCTCAACAACCGCCTTCTCCTGCTGCATACGCTTCAAAAACACTTCAGCCTGTTTGATAGTGCCTACTTCATTTGCCTTCCCCTTGCCTCTCATTGCTTCTACAATACTCTTCATGAGATTGCGTTCGGATTTCAGCCCTTCCCTGGTTTCCTTTTCAAGAATCTCCAAATCGGCCAGTTTTTGCTCAATGAATTCTGCTTCCTGCACTTCCCTTTCCATTCGTTTGACAAACTTTTCCGTTTCCTCTTCAACCATCGGGCTCTGGTTATCAGCTGATAATTCATGGCTTCTCCTTTTACGTGACTCCGGTCTCCTCTCTGTTTCGCCTTCCACTGATTGTGTGCTTGCGACTGCAGGTGTTGCAAGAGCACGCCTGCTCAACGACTTTGTGGGGCTGAAGCCAACCACTACAAACAGCACCGCAATCAACAGAATTCTGCCCAAATCTTTAGCGAATTGAGCAAAAAGATTGCCCTCTGCCAAGATATGCACACTTGCATTTTGCAACAGCTGAACCAACACCAAACGACCAGCAGTGACAAAATTTCCAAGTGAAACAGTTGCTTTTCTTGGAGCAGGGGAGATGCTTCGTGCTCTTTCGAAATTCAAAGAACGTGAGTCTTCTCGTTGAGAGGACGCCGATGACACAAAGGGCTTACCCTCGGGTCCACTCGCTCTACAACTGCGCCTGAATTGAGGTCTACCACGTTGCTCTAAAACCCTAAACCCTGGCAAAAATTTGCTCGACTCCCCGTAATTTGGAGTGGTCAAGTGCAGTCTCAAGCCTCCGGGTGACATAAAGGTTGAGGTGTTCGTCCCAGAATGAGTGAAAGAGACGACCCGGGTCCTGGAAAAGTGACTGCCTTTGAGTAAGGAACAATACGGAGAGAGGAGCCTAGAGGAGTGGGAATACGTAATTCCTACCATTGCGCACCGGACTTTAGAAAAAAAAAATCCTGGAACTTCTCCCGCAGCTGCCGTGTCTCACAGAATGCGCAGAAGACGCATCTCTAACTCAGCAAAATTCTCAAGTCTTGAGTTATAACGGTGCCCACAATGTGGTAGAAGGTGATCTCTCACCACAGCTCCAAGCATAATTCTGCACAAACAAAGCCAACAAAGCAAACAAACGGACATTCAACGCCAAGGCAAAACTCCTGAATGTAGCGATGCTCTTGAACAGAATTGCCGACGAAAAAGTAAAAACTCCATGGAGTCCAATGACTGTGAAACTAGGTGGCAACACGCATCACGCATCAGGGAACGAACCCTCGGCCGAAGCATTTCGCTCCACCTCCAGATAACGACACCCCAGAATGGCTTGACCACTGCTCACGCTAGTTCAGCCTGTCCCCACTTCGACACTGACTCGCTTTCCCCTCTGACGCGCTCGGTGTGGCCCTCGTAAGCAAGGACTGACAAACCACTCAACAAGAGGAATATTAGCCGTGCAACATTCTGCCGAAAGCAACGACGAAGATTTCAATCCCCGGCGCTCCATGACAATCCAGACCCCAATTCAGAATTCAGGACAGACATCCCGAACTCGACTGAGCTCCAAATTCAGAATCAAGAATCGTAACACACAGAAAACGAATCTCCGATCGTGATTTAATGGGCGATTCGCATCTACGACCGCAGCCTGGAAACCACTGGACTCGGTTGCAGCCTAGAACGAGGCGCGGACTCACCTCCGGCGCCGAGGACTGCAATGGATTTGTAACGCAATGGCTTCGCTCCAGCACCATGGCGTTCGTTCGAGTGTGCTCACGCCATTCCTCTCGCGCAGCAACGCTGGCGCGTCACGACCGACTTTATCCGACCCAGGCAATCTGTCTCGGCACGGTTTACACTTGGCTCTCGGAGCGTACTACGGTACACTGCGCTGTTGATGCACAGTCCTGCTCGACTTCTTCCTTTCGCCGCTAGGTAAATAAAAGTGGGGTCCAACTGGAGAAATCCAAAGGTCCATCCAGGAGTACAACGGCGAAACTGATTTCAGAAAAAGGTTGCTCCGTCGTCTCCGGCCATCCGGGACGACGTGTATTTTACCATTTTAGTGTCAGTAACCATCACATCTGCACATTAACATGTAACATTTACGAGGAGAAATCAAGATCTTAGAAAGCAACTACACGACGTTTTTTATGCACAATCTAGCTCTTCCGGCTTGAGAAAAAAGGGGATCAAGTAATATATCAAATAAGGATGTGAATCTAAACGCCGGGTAAGCATGTAACAAGAAAGCATTACTATCAAGGTTACACATATGTTCACCCGGAGGTTTATGTAGAAAGACAATGATAAACACGTACCACTCCAAGGGAGATATGTAAATAAGTATATAAGTGTGACTAAAAACTAAAAATTAAAAACTAGATCTATACAAAATTGGTATAAATTGAAGTATTTTTAATTAGTTAAAATCAAAATAGAATTTATTCAAAGTTTAGTTATAATTATCTTGTAATACATTATTCATAATTGTCACAACTGAAAACCGTGTACTTAGTAAATAAAAAATAAATTTGTTAGATGACAATGACATATCAACAAATGTGTGTTTATTAGATAAATATTGAATATGTTATGAATGACAAATCAACAATTTGTATGTTTGTTAGTATAATCCATCATGTCATCAATCCACTAAATATAGAACTAATGGTGAGATGAAATTTTATCTATTTAAATTTGTGTGTAAGGAAAAGTATAACCATTCTATGTATCTTTCATACGCAAATATGTGTTTTATATTCTAATGAGTTACTTTCTTGATCACTAGTTTGCAAATGGTTCCAAGAGAAAACATTGTAACAACATCACAATATTACATCAAATTTAGAAATCGAACACCAAGTAAAAAGTAGACATCCTTGAAGCTTCAACTATTTGAAAGCAAATCGATAACATACTTAAACATTGATTCACATATTTGAAAATACATTAGGACTTTGTGTTTATTGATGATGAGATCAATCTTAGATGATAAGAAATGATGGTCCAATCAAAAGATGATTTCTAATCTTTTGGATAAAATCGGATGCTGATAATTCATGTGGTAGCATTAGAGTAATAGAACCAAAATTTATCATTGCATTGTTGTTTTGATCTCTATAAATCAGTGTTTCGATGAATCTAATAACAAGCAATAACGTAAATGAGTACTATTATTGCTTAAGATTGTTTTGATCGCTTTCATCAATATTTTTAAATACAAGTACTTTGTTTAAGTATGCAATTTGAAACTCAAAGATTTGTGCATACTTTACCGGTAAATGCGTATTTTAAACTCTTCATTTTCAAATCATGAACATTTTGCTCAAATGTTTAAAAATACTAACTAACAAGGATTTGAATGAGTTCCAGCTATGGAATCATCTCAAAATTGAGCACAAAAAACCCTTCAAGAAAACGCACTTTAGTGCGTGAGTATTGTGAACGGTAAAATAAAATAAAAAACATAAAAACATTCACGAGAGATAGATTTAACGTGGTTCACCCTTGGGGAAGAGGTCTACGTCCACCAAGAACTTGAGCACCTTTACTTCAAGTCATGTGAAGAAAAAACTCTATGTAAAAGGTGAACCCCGAGGTATTTATCCCAGTCTAGACGACCTCCCTAGCTAAAAATAGCTAGGACCCGAAATTACTCGTTAACTAGAATTAACCTCAACAATATCCCTCTTCACTCATGTTAAGGAATAGTAACCTCTATAACATACATTATTACTCTGCAAGAAGTTCTAGAGCGAATTCTAACATAAAGTCCCCTCTTTACACAAGAGTTAATTGGAACTAAACCGTATCCGTAACAAAATAGAGTAATAACATAAAGAGGTAACTAAAAATCAACTAGCATAGAGAGAACAGAAATCTCGTAACCTATATAATTACTCAACGGGAAATTTTAGAAAGAAACTTAATACAAGGCCCCTCTTTACACAAAAGTTAACTAGAATTAAGCTGTAGCCATCACATGATAGAGTAAATATATAAAGAGAAAATTCAAGATATTATGTTAGCAAGCTTTATCTGCGCTTTCCATGCACAACCTGCATGATACCACAGTCTCGCCTGAAACTCTCTATAGAAATAACCTTGACCAACGTATCATATGGATTAAATAATCAGACGCTCTTGTCTGATAAAATACATAATATTGTTGTGCTTCACGGTATTGTAATTAACTTATACTGTGCTCATTTTGATCATTGAGCACATAATGATCAAGCCTCCCCCACAACTACATACGTGAATGAAAAGTTCACGTTGAGTACAAAGATCCGAAGAATTCTCCCACTCTTTCAAGTAACAAGGTTTATTGAAAGACACACACACACTGACATGAACCTTGCAATCTATCATGCTCGCAATTGACTGTCACCTATGACGAGGCCTCTCTATATAGAGCAAATTCTTTATGTTCCGTATCTCAACAATATAAGGAACAGTTTCAAAACAAAATTCGGAACATGACATAAATTTGTCATGTTTTCTTTAATAAACTTCAAATTTGACGACAGTGTAATATATCTTCAAGACAAATGGGAGTTATTTTGGACCTATGAATATCTTTCTCCCATTTCAAAACTGAGAAATCACTTTCTACTGTTGTAGTATTAGGAAATGGACAAGCTAATCCTCCTACAAATTTCATAAGTCGAGGAAACCTGTTCCTAATATTCGGAGTACTCCAAGCTTCACAAAGATCAGACAGCTCAGTCAACATACTCAAAGCATTTCAAAGACGATGTTCTCTGTTTACAAAAACCAAAAGCTCCTTGTGTTCTTCCACTATTTTATCTATGTCCTCTTGTTCTCGAGAAAGTTGGAGACGATCTTGATATTTAAGAACTAACTAAACAATTTCTTGTGTCTTCATAGCTACCAGTTCTTGAGGCAAGCAAGGTGGCAAAATACTAGAAGCTGCCTGGTTCAACTCATCACGTGTAGCTTCTACCTTGCTCAAATTACAAACTGCTTCCAAAAACAGGTTGCCAACTGCATGCAACACTTCTCTTTTTGAGTCTGTGTCCATCTCTGCCAATGATTGGGTAGCAAACAGACCTTGATCTTTGATTAATCCAATCAGATTGGCATGACTAACTTCCATTTGTCCAAGATTACGATGTTAAACGCTGGGGATGAGTTTAATTCAATCCCAACTCGCTCTACACATGCAAAACGCTGTAATTTAGTTAGCAGATCTTGGAGAACTGACTTTTGTTGTTGCAAAGTAGTTCTTCTTCCTTATAAACCTTCCACACACTAGCTTACATGCCCTGAAAGCTCGCTTACAACTGCAACCATAATCCACCAAGATAATGAAGGCATGTCACGAATTCTTTGAGAAACATCACTTTGTTCAAAATAAGCCATGATTTTTAGATCTTCTTTTGATCAAAAAACGAGATACACATGACATTGAGGCCCAACAAGTAGTAGATAAATTTGGAAAAATAACTTGCATTTCATCTATCAAAATTTTTTGACGTTGTAAAACAGAAATCAGTGAGGTTAGAGTCTTATGAAATCCACAACCAACATTTATATAAATCTTCTGCATCACAATATCTATCTGATGCAACAAACACCATACATGAATGAAATTTGGTCTAACCACCTCCTGAATATGTGTCACAACTCTAGATAAATGTCATGTCATATTTGTAGCACCATCAGTTGAACACCCAATTAGCTTGTCTTTCTATAAGGGACAAACTGCATCAAACAACTTGCAAAACATCTCAAACATAGCCAATCCTGTATGTCTACCAGAAAAAGGAAGTATGATAAGGTGCAGATTTTCAATAGAAGAATTTTAATAAAACCAAATTCAAACATCAATCCAAGAAACTCCATGTAGGTCACAAGAGGCATCAAAGGCTACAGAAAAAGTCCAGGCCAAGTGGAGTATTTGAGCCATATTTTCAATAGATATGGCGCATGCGGTTCTAACGTAAGAAGCAATTAGATATTTGCTACAAAATCCAAGTTTAGGAATATCACAGATCTCTCTCGCATCCTGAACTGCATAAGCAGCCATTGAGAAGGACATTCCTCGTGCAACAAAATAAGGTACCAGCTCAAACTGTTTTTTCTGGCTAATTTGAATACGGTAATTCCCATCATCAGTTAGTTTAAAGAGTGACATTGCATTTGCTCAAGATTGACTATACAAATCATTTTCATTCCAGAGCATGTCTCCTATAATCACATCAACAATTGAACATCTAATTATAAAAGTACTCATGGCAGACTGATTTTTCATGAAATGACAAATAGTTTCAGCATGTTTAACAGAAACAGCAAAATAAATGTACTTATCTTCTGTCGAAAGCTTTTGATACTCCCTCCACCTCACCTGATGATTGATGCAAAGATGCTGCATGTAGTTGTCTGTTCTGAAAAGAGGCCCCTCAAATGTCCAAGATGTAGAGGATTTTTTAACAGGTTCTTCACGTTCAAAACATACACAGAATTTACACCTAACTGCCACCACTTCAGTAGCATCACGACTTGCTATACAAAGACCATACTGTAATAGATGTTTTTGCTGCAATGGAGTTTTGCGGGGTCACTTAGAAGTAGGTTCAATAGACTCCATCAAGATTTAGGGAAAAAAGTCCAAAACTATACTTATCAAAATACAATCGCCCCGAGGTACGGGGCGAAACAAAAATAATTATATTTCAAGGATATCTACGAATTCTACAAACTTGACAAGTAATTAAAGTAGATTCAAACAAAAATGGGGATAACAACCACAATGAGTTTCCTAGAAAAATCAAACACATATGCAAAAAATCTGCACATTTGCATTCAGTAAGACGGAGCTCATGAACTTGGAAACAAAATTACAAAATGAGAGCAAAATTAACGTCA